GGGGGGAGGTGTATAAGTGATCTATAATATTCTTACCAGCAGCAGTATATGAGCAAAGCCAGGATAAGAATGAGTAGAATTCCTCCTAGTACACAGGAAATGATCACCACTGCCAGCAGGGCCGCTGTGAGGACACAATTGAAAACATTGTGCCCTGTCAGATGAACCCAAGAACACCTTCATCAACACTAATCATCATTTTGTACTTATTGAAACTCATTTTAAACTGGATGTATTCTACTTTCATCTTACAAAACCATTCATCGATTTGACTACTGTGTAACTTTCAGATCACCAAACGAATTGCAATATTAGCTAATCATAACCCGAGAAAATTCAAAGTGCAGTTTTAAAAGATTATTTTATTTATTAAGGGAAAATGACTAACCAAACGTACTGTACCTAGCCCTACATAAAGAAAACAACAGCTAATAATTGGTAGTAACACCACTGGGAGCAAGTGCTTCAATCAAGCATTTGCAGAAACAGACAATGAGTCTTTTACTTCACTGTGGAGAAATGTTGGCTCACTCTTCTTTACAGAAATGTTTTTATTCAGCCACATTGGAGGTTTTTCCAGCCAGTTTAATTCACGCCATGGACCTGAATTTGACTAGGACAATAGCTCTAGTAACCTTCTGAAAGGTTAAACTTTTGTCTCATCAGTCCAAAGAATATTTTCCCAAAAGTCTTGGGGAACACAAAGATTTAATATGGCAAATGAAATCACCTTTTAAAAACAGCATTTTGTATTTACTCTGGTGATATTTGTCCAATATTACAATCAGTTTGATGAGTTGAAACATGTGTGACAAAGATGTAAAAAAAAAAAAAGAAATCAGGAAGCGGGTAAATACTTTTTGACAGCCCTTTATTTTAATCCCTTATGTATAACCTTTGGCTGTCCAACATATTTAGAGCCACTTAGTTATTCAACTAAACAGTAGAACTTTTAACATATCCCTGTGGCTACTTCAGAAGTATTCCCTTAGTCTCTCTCAGATATATATTTAAATCATCTACTGATCGGAAGGTTGGTAGTTTGATCCCTGGCTCCCACTAGTCTGCATGCCAAATATCCTTGGGCAAGATACTAACCCCAAAGATGCTCTCCGATGCATCCATCGGAGTATGAATGTGTGTGAATGGTAGTTAGAAAGCACTAACTAAGCACTAAAACAAACATAGAAGACATTGCTTGTGCTTCACCCCAACCGGTCGCAGCAGATGGCCGCCCCTCCCTGAGCCTGGTTCTGCCGGAGGTTTCTTCCTGTTAAAAGGGAGTTTTTCCTTCCCACTGTCGCCAAAGTGCTTGCTCATAGGGGGTCATATGATTGTTGGGTTTTTCTCTGTATCTATGAAGCGCCTTGAGGCGACTTTTGTTGTGATTTGGCGCTATATAAATAAAATTGAATTGAATTGAAAAAATTGAATTGAATGGGTGAATGTGGCATGTTGTATAGAGCTCTTTGAGTACTCTGGGAAAGCAGAAAATCGCTATATAGGAACCAGTCCATATACTGTGCAGTCTATGAGTTCTGCTTCTTTAGCATTTCCCCTTTGTAATACTGATGTTATACTCACAGTCATTGCAGTTGAATCCAGCATACCCAAAGGGACATCTGAAAGAAAGCACAGTGACATTCACATTTCAGAACTCCCCAGAACCATAATGGAGTTCAACAATAAATCCACATGGGGGAGCCATATTTTAACACTGTGCTCCACCAGGAAGACGTGCAAAACCAGTAGACAGAATTAAAAAATGTGTGTACTTACGCTTCACACACTTCTCCCACTGCCCTCTGTCCGCTTGGACACGCTGCAAAAAGAAATAGCAATTGTAACATAGAGATAATGTTTTGTCCAATGAATGTTTCAGATTGGCTGGACAGAAACATTTAGCGCTCATGATGGCACATCCAAAAATAGGAGCACTCTGGGAGTCTCTTCACTTAAAGGCTTGCTATTAAACAGTTTACAGAGTTGTATGCTGGATTTGTTTGAGGCCTACGGTCTTATTCTTTAACAGTATTTCCTATAGCCAATCTCCTTGGTCACAACCCTACACACAGAGGCAAAGCTGCAATTCTTCCACATGTTTCCAGGGAAACATCCCCATTAAAAAGAAATGAATTAGAGAGATAAATGAAGGAAGTGTCAGGGGTCGGCATGGAGAAAAGGCTACAGCTCTTGACCTTGTACGTGAGTCTCACTCCCTGTTGATTCTCCTTCTCATTCCCACACAGAATTTTTTTTTGCAAGGATAAGAAGGTTTTGTTACAGTTCTCGTGACTGTAGACGAGCTCGGGAAATTTCACTTGAGCTTAGTCTTAAAAGCTGCAGGTGGTCAGCTTTAGTGGTCCATGCATGAGCCTTTAATGTATAATACTATTGCAGCAGGATGTTGTGAAGGCAAAAAAAAACATTAAAGACTAGAGCATGTGGTAGTTTCCTCATTTAAATCCAACACAGGTCTGGATTACGGAAAAAGTAATAATCCGAAATAGTCACTTTTACCTTTGCAACTAGTGTTTGAGTACACATTGGAGATGTAGCCATCTTTACAGGCACATGCAGCCTGGCCATTTGTATTTGTGCATACTGTAGTGGAGGCATCACAAGGTAATGGTTTCTGCTCACACAGGTTTACACCTAAGAAGGGGCGAGAACAGAACAGGCTATGTAAATCAAAGATACGTTATTAACTGATCACTTGACTTGTATAGAATGTAGTCAGCGTTTACTTGTATATTCAGCTCCAGCCAGAAGTCCAGTGGAAGTTTTTATAGCTTCCTTTATGGCGTTAAAAATGGTAGTTTGATTTTCAGTGGTGTCACTAAACACATTATTTACAGTTGCTTGCACGCTACCTGGTCTGGAGATTTATAGAAAACAACCAACAGAGGTTAGTCACCTTTTTTAACATGTGGCATTGCATTTTTGTATAACAGGAAAGTGAAACATGTACTCACTCAAGTTGCACAACATCAGACCGGATATACCCTGGCTGATTCTTGAGGATATTGCTAAGCTGTGAAGCAGAATAAACACAGTTTATCGATTAAGTTGACAAATTCTAGAGCTACCCAACATGTTTCTGTCTTCATAACCTACTGTTGCTGAAATGTTAGCAGCCGTCATCTGGAATATCTTTGAAGACCTGTTGAACATTTCGTTTTGAAATGTTAAGGTGGTAAGATGAAGCCTCCCTGGGAACACATGGGCTGCGTGATGAAGAGGAAAAGAGAATATAAGGCGACAAATTCACTATTAACACCCAATTACACTTTCATTTACGCATTAGACTTTTTTGTCTGAACAGACATAAAATGTTTTAATTTTTTTTTACCAGGTACACAATGTCCATTCAGCAGGTAGGTACCAGAGAGACACTGGCAAGTGCCATTAAGACAGACGCTTTCAAGTGGACATGGGACAGCTGGACACACTGGCAAGCAAGAAAAGAAAATGTATCCCATAAACAAATGTTATTTCTGTTTTATTAATTACAAAATACCTTTTTTGGCCACATGGAGTGAGCACAAAAAGAAGTTATAGACAGCTTTTAAATAACATTTTTTTTGCAAGCTAACAGTTGCTTCTTTATATCTCCCAGGATATGTGGGAACATTATTATTCATGTCAAGGTGCATGTCTGATTTCATAATGTGTATTCTAGTCTATGGAAAAGCAATTTAAAGGTACAAACCTATGACTGGACTCTGCGTGGTGGTGGGTGGAGCTGGAGTGGTTTGGTTGCTGGTAGTGATCTGTGTTGGTTGCAGGGTGGTGGTTGTGATGTAAGAGATGGTGGTTGGAATGGCAGTTGTAATGCCACTAGCTTCAGTTGAAAGAGTTGTAGTTGCGGTTACTGCAGTGTGATTTGTCACTATATCATCAAAAAAAGAGAAACAATCAGATCAGGGACTCTTCAATAGAGAATACATGGATATGGGTATTAAAGTACGGTACTGTGTGAATATGCATATTTAATAAACACAATACCTTACTTTAACCTATATCCTAGTATGCACTCTCATGAAATACTGGATGGATTGTCATGAATTTCCTTCTCACCTCCATGTTATAGTATATTATTTACAAGAACACACATCAACATGTATCATGCTGTTAGTATTACCTCCTGAGCTTGCTGTTGAGGGACTAAGGGTGGTGGCATTTCCACTGGGGGGTACGGTGCTATTGCCTGGGGAGGTGCTTGGAGGGAAAGAGCTGGAGTTGGAGATGGTGGTGGGTGAAGAGGGTGAGGGTCCAGCTGTGAGTGTTGTGTTTATGGCAGCAGTTGAGGACAAGGGTGCGGTAGTAGATGCAGCAGTCTCAGGAGAGGTGTTAGTAGTGTTTGGTTGAGTAGTTGGAGTTAACGCAGCTGTAGAGCTTACTGGGGTGAGTGTTGTTGTAATTGCTGTGCTGTTGCTGGTTTCTTCAGTAGTTGAAGTTGTGATGTTGCTTAGTGGTGTAGTTGCTGTAATAAAAGTTGTGTTGTTGCTTGTGGGTGTGACTGGAGTAATGTTAGTTGAATGGTTGCTTGTGGGAGATGTAACCATAGCCGTGCTGTTGCTTGTGTGTGTAAATGGCGTACTGGCAGTGGTGTCGTTGTTAGTCTGGGTGACTGGTGTACTTGCAGTTATGTTGATGGTTGTGTTTGTGACTGGCATAACTGTAGTTGTGTCATTACTGGTGTTGGTCATTGGTGTGCTA